AAAGCCACCCAGGGCAGGGGTACAGCCACCCGGGGCAGGGTTAAAGCCACCTGGGGCAGGGGTATAAGCCATCTGGGGCTGGGTTAAAGACACCCGGGCACTATTAAAGCCACGCGGGGCAGGTTTAAAGCCACGCGGGGTGGGGTTAAAGCCACCCGGAGCAGGGGTATGGCCACGCAGGGGAGGGAGTATGGCCACCTGGGGCAGGGTTAAAGCCAGCCAGGACAGGGTTAAGGCCAGCCGGGGCAGGGGTACGGCCACCCGGGGTGGGGTTAAAGCCACAGGGAGCAGGGGTACGGCCAGCCTGGGCAGGGTAGGGCCACCCAGGGCAGGGGTACGGCAACCCGGGGGGGCTTGAGGCCACCCGGGGCAGGGTTAAAGCCACCCGGGCACTGTAAAAGCCACCCGGGGCAGGGCTAAAGCCACCTGGGGCAAGGGGATGGCCACCCAGGGCAGGGGTACGGCCAACCGGGCAGGGTTAAAGCCACCCGGAGTGGGATTTAAAGCCACCTGGGGCAAGGGGACGGCCACCCAGTGTGGGGGTACGGCCGCCTGGGGTAGGGTATGGCCACCCGGGACAGGGATAAGGCCACCAGGGGCAGAGGTCCAGCCACCTGGGACGGGGTTAAAGCCACCAGGGGCAGGGGTATGGCCACCCAGGGTGGGGGTAATGCTACCCGGAGGGGGGTTTAAAGCCACCAGGGGCAGAGGTCCAGCCACCTGGGACGGGGTTAAAGCCACCAGGGGCAGGGGTATGGCCACCCAGGGTGGGGTTAATGCTACCCGGAGTGGGATTTAAAGCCACCTGGGGCAAGGGGACGGCCACCCAGGGTGGGGGGATGGCCACCTGGAGTAGGGGACGGCCACCTGGGACAGGGTTAAAGCCACCCAGAGCAGGGGTACAGCCATCCAGGGCAGCTGTACGGCCACCCAGGGTGGGGTTAAGGCCACCCGGGTCAGGGTTAGAAGCACCCAGGGCAGGGCTTTAAGCCCCCTGGCGGGGGGTTAAAGACACCCAGGGCAGGGGTACGGCCACCCAGGATGGGATTAAGGCCACCCGGGGCAGGGGAAAAGCCAGCCGGGGCAGTGGGCCAGACACCCGG